AAACCCATATATTGTTTCATCCCACTTCATGAAGCATTGAAGCTCTATACCATCTCACTCTTTACAAATTACAAGCTCTATTAATTACCCATAATGTGCTATCCAAAATTCAAATTTTGTTTCTAGACAACCAATATTTAAGAGTTAAAACTTAAAACTGGCGTGTAAGGATAGGCATGCTTTAAGTCAACGGACGGAATACAAAAAGTCCAAGGGTGATCGACAATGGAGACTTCAAAAATCTTTAGGCATATATATTGAGCTTTGCTCGTGCAGAAATGATATATTCGGGAGTGGGCACACTAGCCTCCGTCAGCGACCATACTCGCATGGTTCGATTTGATAGTGAGCGACACCATCTAAAGAACCGGAAGCAAGTACTGTATTGGGGGGGGGGGGTTAGCTGCGTCTTAGAGCCTCCAACGGTACTCCATAGACCTTCACTCTCGATATTCTCAATTTTCCTTTGTTCTCAAGTTTTTTTCTTGGGGGTTTACCTGCGTCTTAGAGCGAATGTTTAGTCTTTGCCGCTCAGATTGGTTTGTATAATCCACAAGAGATTAGTAGGCTAGGTTTTTTGATTTGGTTAGTTTTAAAAATATGGTTTGGTTCGGTTAGGGTTCTCTTAAGACAGATTGCACTATATGCGTATCAATAGCTCAACCTTTTGCCAAACACACCTTTCTTATTGGCTTTTGTCATCAACGTCATATATTCAAATTTTGTTTTTAAAAGACCACAATGTTTTTCTTTTTAAATCTGTAAATTTTGAGTTTAGATCCGTACAGCCGGATCATCATATAATAAATTATTCCTCCCGTGTCCCCTAAGTACTTATGTTTTCAGTTTAAGTGCTAGCAAATTATTATCGCATCACAATTATTTATCATTGTTTTTAATGCTAACAGTTTTATCTTATCTTCATCTTTAGGACTGATTTTACTTAAGATAAACTTTGGTTTGTCTCCCAGAAAAAAAAATCAATGCTTTATTTGGAGAAAGCTTATGAAATATCGGGATATAGCATCCGATTTTGTCAAGTATGAGGTGCAGAATGGAAAGAACATTTCTTTTTCGTATGACATTGGTCCACAATGGGGCGTTTAATAGAGATTACGGGCTAGCGAGGTTGTATTGACATGGGAATTGGCATTAAATCAACAGTGGTTGAAGCTATACTGAACCACAGACGAAGGAGACACATGAATGTACACTTAAATCAGCTGGAGACAGTATTCTAGGACATTCGTAACCTAGGGCTGTCAGAAACAGAGGATATAGCACTTTGGAAAGGAAAATGAGATCGGTTTACGGAAACTTTTAGCACAAGGGAAACCTGGGAGGCTATTTGTGTTACTAAGCCAAAGATAGAATGGTACAAACGTATATGGTTCTCACATGCTATACCTAAGTACTCGTTCCTAGCTTGGCTTGCAACACTAAACCATTTAACAATAGGGGATAGAATGATGCGTTGGAATGTCGGCGCAAACTCCTCGTGTGTCCTCTGTCAACATCCGTCGGGAACCCAAAACCACATGTTCTTCATGTGTTGCTACTCAAGGGAAGTCTGGTCTGCTCTATCTCCAAGCTTCTCTCCACACGATTCACAACAAGATGGCACCACATTATCAATCTCCTAAAGGAGAACTCCCTAAGACATGATCAACTATTTCTTGTAAGGTATTGCTTCCAGCTTTCAATACATGCTTTGTGGGTAGAAAGAAACAACAGAAGACATGGTGAAACTCCAATTCCAGCAAGCCAACTAGTCAAAAGACTGTATAAGCAAGTCCGAAATAGAATTTCGTCGATTCGAGAGCAAGGGGATGGAAAATATGAAGGTTGCATGGTGACTTGGTTTACATCAAGATAACCACAAAGCTTTTATAAGTTTTTTCTTTAGACGAATGTATCTCTAAATCGTATAAACATATGCTGCACTTGATGTAAAAATGTTTTTTCGAATAAATTTTACATTTTATTCAAAAGAAAAAGATTCAATGCTTTAGTCAAAATTGATTAACGTGGTTGGACGAAGCTTCAGATTTTCGAGAAAATGTGAGAGTTATTGTTCTGAGTTTTAATGTAAAATATTTGAGATGTGATATGTTGTTTAGTAGAATGATTTAAGAGATTGTAGGGGTATAACTTTCGAAGATGTGATTTATACAGCCATCTCTTTTATAGAGCAATTTATCTTCCAAATATTTCCTCCTTTATGGAGTGGTTTGGATGTTTAAGCATTATCGGTTTTGCAAGGATTTTCTTCCTGCCGTATGCTCTTTTTAGCCTTTGAGGCGGTTGCGTTAACCACTCCGGTTGTATTGGATGCAATCATTCACGAAATCATTAGAATTGTTATCTTGAGAATTCTTATAGTTCATGTTTATCATTTGTATCATCTATCTATCTTTTGTCGGTCCTTTTGGCATTTGTTGTCTTGCTGCGTCTTAGAGCCTCCAACGGTACTCCATAGACCTTCACTCTCGATATTCTCAATTTTCCTTTGTTCTCAGGTTTTTTTCTTGGGGGTTTAGCTGCGTCTTAGAGCGAATGTTTAGTCTTTGCCGCTCAGATTGGTTTGTATAATCCACAAGAGATTAGTAGGCTAGGTTTTTCGATTTAGTTAGTTTTTAAAATATGGTTTGGTTCGGTTAGGGTTCTCTTAAGATAGATTGCACTATATGCGTATCATTAGCTCAACCTTTTGCCAAACACACCTTTCTTATTGGCTTTTGTCATCAACGTCATATATTCAAATTTTGTTTTTAAAAGACCACAATGTTTTTCTTTTTAAATCTGTAAATTTTGAGTTTAGATCCGTACAGCCGGATCATCATATAATAAATTATTCCTCCCGTGTCCCCTAAGTACTTATGTTTTCAGTTTACTTGTGTTCAACCACAATTAAGTGCTAGCAAATTATTATCGCATAACAATTATTTATCATTGTCTTTAATGCTAATAGTTTTATCTTATCTTCATCTTTAGGACTGATTTTGCTTAAGATAAACTTTGGTTTGTCTCCTAGAAAAAAAATTCAATGCTTCATTTGGAGAAGGCTTCTGAAATATCGGGATATAGCATCCGATTTTGTCAAGTATGAGGTGCAGAATGGAAAGAACATTTCTTTTTCGTATGACAATTGGTCCACAATAGGGCGTTTAATAGAGATTACGGGCTAGCGAGGTTGTATTGACATGGGAATTGGCATTAAATCAACAGTGGTTGAAGCTATACTGAACCACAGACGAAGGAGACACATGAATGTACACTTAAATCAGCTGGAGACAGTATTCTAGGACATTCGTAACCTAGGGCTGTCAGAAACAGAGGATATAGCACTTTGGAAAGGAAAATGAGATCGGTTTACGGAAACTTTTAGCACAAGGAAACCTGGGAGGCTATTTGTGTTACTAAGCCAAAGATAGTACAAACGTATATGGTTCTCACATGCTATACCTAGTACTCGTTCCTAGCTTGGCTTGCAACACTAAACCATTTAACAACAGGGGATGGAATGATGCGTTGGAATGTCGGCGCAAACTCCTCGTGTGTCCTCTGTCAACATCCGTCGGGAACCCAAAACCACATGTTCTTCATGTGTTGCTACTCAAGGGAAGTCTGGTCTGCTCTATCTCCAAGCTTCTGTCCACACGATTCACAACAAGATGGCACCACATTATCAATCTCCTAAAGGAGAACTCCCTAAGACATGATCAACTATTTCTTGTAAGGTATTGCTTCCAGCTTTCAATACATGCTTTGTGGGTAGAAAGAAACAACAGAAGACATGGTGAAACTCCAATTCCAGCAAGCCAACTAGTCAAAAGACTGTATAAGCAAGTCCGAAATAGAATTTCGTCGATTCGAGAGCAAGGGGATGGAAAATATGAAGGTTGCGTGGTGACTTGGTTTACATCAAGATAACCACAAAGCTTTTATAAGTTTTTTCTTTAGACGAATGTATCTCTAAATCGTATAAACATATGCTGCACTTGATGTAAAAAAGTTTTTTCGAATAAATTTTACATTTTATTCAAAAGAAAAAGATTCAATGCTTTAGTCAAAATTGATTAACGTGGTTGGACGAAGCTTCAGATTTTCGAGAAAATGTGAGAGTTATTGTTCTGAGTTTTAATGTAAAATATTTGAGATGTGATATGTTGTTTAGTAGAATGATTTAAGAGATTGTAGGGATATAACTTTCGAAGATGTGATTTAAACAGTCATCTTTTTTATAGAGCAATTTCTCTTCCGAATATTTCCTCCTTTATGGAGTGGTTTGGATGTTTAAGCATTATCGGTTTTGCAAGGATTTTCTTCCTGCCGTATGCTCTTCTCAGCCTTTGAGGCAGTTGCGTTAACCACTCCGGTTGTATTGGATGCAATCATTCACGAAATCATTAGAATTGTTGTCTTGAGAATTCTTATAGTTCATGTTTATGATTTGTATCATCTATCTATCTTTTGTCGGTCCTTTTGGCATTTGTTGCCTTGCTTTCATAAAATTTCTCTGTTTTTTTGTATGTAATCCGTTATCTTTTGATAGAGTTTGATCTGATAATATCTAATTATAACGAAATTATCTATGTAATACGGAAAAAAAAAGAGGAGGAATGAGCGGAAAAGACCAATAATATCTCTTTAATCCGCTTATTTTTTTTTCCGGATTGATCTTTCGTTGAGTTGAGTTGCTTTGAAATCTTCGACATGACTGTTCGCTATTAATTGTTCCATAAAACAGAAAATTCATGTTATACACTTCATCGATTAGAGTCACATTTTCTCTTTATTCGCAATCGGAAAATCACCCTCAACTAGAGGAGTGTATTTATTTGAACAGCTTGGCAGCTGATACTCGTTTATTTTCCCTTGTTGGTCCCAACTTGGCAAATTGGTACTATTTGATTTCCTTCACAATTTTTTGTTTATTTATTCACCAATCAAAACGTGTACTATGTAATAGTAATAACAGAAAATAAATAAAATTAAAACTTGAGAAAAACAGTAAAAACACTAACAAAACGCAAAATCGAGTCTCAAACAAATCTCAGTTTCCCACTTGAATCTAAAAGAGAGGTAGAAGAGGAAACAACAAAACAAAACAAAATTCGATAATTGAAGAATTTGCAAAGATAAGCAGAAAACTCATAACAATTTTGTTTTATCTTCCTTCGTCTTCGTCTTCGTCTTCTTCGTAAAAAGATAGCAACAATCGAAGAAGAGCTTGAAATGGGCCACCACCACGACGGTGGCGATGGCGTCCCTCAACATCATGTCAACAGCCCTCGATTTTCCGGTCCTATGACCCGTCGTGCTCAATCATTCAAACGCGGCGGTTCCGGAGGTAGTAGCAGCAATACTCACGTCGGTGATGGCAACAACACTTCGACCTTGAGAGTTCATCACGAGATCGATCTGCCGCTTAACTCACCTAGATCAGAGATTGTTTCTGGTTCTTCCGGTTCAGATCCGAGCGGTGGATTTGATTCTGCTCTCAATAGAAAGCATCAGACGTATGGTCAGTTGAGAGAGAGAGTTGTGAAAGGTTTGTTGAGGAAGCCCATGGGATCGGTTGTTTCGGATTTTAGTTTGAGAGAGAGGAAGAAACTTGGCCATTGGATGTTTTTTGCCTTTTGTGGTGTTTGTTTGTTTTTGGGTGTTTTCAAGATTTGTGCTACTGGCTGGCTTGGATCTGCCATTGATGGTGCTGCTTCCCATCAGGTTCTTCGTTTTTCTGCTCTATTTTTATTGTGTGTTTGGCCTTTGTTTCTCTGGTACTAGAACCTGCTTGATTAAGGTTGATGCTAGTAGTGTTTAGAGTTTCTCTCTTCTTGAACATTTGTGTTTGGCCTTTGTTTCTGTTCTACAACTTGATAAATTGTGTTTTGATGTTGCTTAAATGTGGATGTGTATCTATGTTTCCACCTTGAGGTGTGTGTGTTTGGCTGCTTGATTAAGTTCTTCTTCACATTTCTGATGACTTTGGTAATTTCTTCTTTCTAGGATTTATCCAACTCAATTCCCCGAGTAAATCTACTTGATCATAGCTCCCATGATTATATCTATAAAGATGGAGGGAATGATGTTGATCCAACTTTGGTTATGGTTGCTTCAGACGTTGTGGGTGACCAAAACAGTGTAGTTGAAGTAAGTCTTATCTCTGAGTACCGGATTTTCTTCCACTGCTTCATTGGGCACAAGCTTTAAAGTGGATTAATTTGCATCTTCATTCTCTACTCTGGTGAATCTTGGTATAGAGCTTTCTACTTAAATCTTGTTTTTATTCTTCATTCAGTATTCAGGTGTTTGGGCAAAACCTGAGAGTGGAAATTTCTCGCAGTGCATTGACAGTCCAAGGAGTCGCAAAAGTATGCCCTTGGCAAAACATATACTTTTAGTCCTATTAGTAGCAGTTTTTTTTTTTCTTTTTGTATTTGTAGTTCTTGTTCTCTTCTATAAGTTCTTACCGTGAGTATATATTATCTGCAGAGTTAGGTGTTAATACGAATGGCTACCTTCTCATAAATGCTAATGGAGGACTAAACCAAATGAGATTTGGGGTCAGGCTTTTGTGTGTTTCTCAATGTTTCTCAACCTATCTTCTGTTTATAAGTTCTAGGCTGATGCGTTTAACTATTTTAGAATGCAGATATGTGATATGGTTGCAGTTGCTAAAATTATGAAGGCAACTTTGGTTCTTCCCTCACTTGATCACAGCTCATATTGGGCAGATGACAGGTTAGTTCCAAAATTTATTAAGGCATTTGATTATTCTCACATCCTTACTAAAGCACGTAACTTAGAGTGCACCTAATTAAAGAAGATTTTGTAGTTAAACAGATTGCATCTTTGTTCTTTTCATACTAAAGAAAAATAATTAAAGCAGTAAGAGTCATGAGAAGTGACTTTCAGTTCGTTTTATTATCTGCTCTTTAGCTTACTTCCTTATTACACCGTGTTTGTAGTGGCTTTAAGGATCTATTTGATTGGCAACACTTCATAGAGGAGTTGAAGGATGATATTCACATAGTTGAGATGCTGCCATCAGAATTAGCCGGAATTGAGCCTTTCGTTAAGACACCTATATCGTGGTCTAAGGTCAAGATTACTTTCTTGTTAATAATGCCATATTGGGGGGCTTGGTTCACTAATATTTGCCTACAGTTGTTTTCAAGAAGGCCCCAGTCAGTAATTTTTTTTCTTTATTACAGGTTGGTTACTACAAGAGAGAGGTCCTTCCATTGTTGAAACAGCATATTGTAATGTACTTAACTCACACTGATTCTCGGCTCGCAAACAACGACCTGCCTGATTCTGTACAAAAGCTTCGTTGCCGAGTAAATTATAGGGCACTTAAATATTCAGCTCCAATAGAGGAACTGGGAAACGTTCTAGTTTCTAGAATGAGGCAGAACAGAGGTCCATACCTTGCTCTTCATTTAAGGCAAGTAGCTTTGTCTGTTTGTCACATCATATTTATTTGACATTGGGCCATATGCAAGTTTATTTTGATAAATCTAGATGCAAGACCAGTTTGAATTGGTTTGGTGTAGTCATGCAAATACTGAAATATCCCACAGGTATGAGAAGGATATGCTGGCTTTCACAGGCTGCAGTCATAGTTTGACAGCTGAAGAAGACGAAGAATTACGGCAGATGCGGTATGAGGTTAGTCATTGGAAGGAAAAAGAAATAAATGGAACAGAGAGAAGATTGCAAGGTGGTTGTCCGTTGACTCCAAGGGAAACCTCGCTTTTACTAAGGGCTTTGGAATTCCCATCCAGCTCCCGGATTTACCTCGTAGCTGGTGAAGCATATGGAAATGGAAGCATGGATCCTCTCAACACAGACTTCCCCAACATTTTCTCACATTCAATTCTTGCCACCAAAGAAGAGCTGAGTCCTTTTAATAACCACCAGAATATGTTGGCTGGTTTAGATTATATTGTTGCACTTCAGAGTGAGGTATTTCTCTACACATATGATGGGAACATGGCAAAAGCGGTTCAAGGTCACAGGCGATTCGAGGACTTCAAAAAAACAATAAATCCAGACAAGTAAATACTCCTCCTGAATACACCACTTGTTTGTAGTAAAAAGGTATCATTTTGGTCACATCTTCTTTTTTTTCGATGCAGGATGAACTTTGTGAAACTTGTTGATGCGTTGGATGAGGGGAGAATTTCATGGAAAAAGTTCAGCTCCAAAGTGAAAAAGCTACATAAAGACCGAAATGGAGCTCCATATAACAGAGAGCCGGGAGAGTTCCCGAAGCTGGAAGAGAGTTTCTACTCAAATCCTCTTCCCGGGTGTATTTGCGAGAATACAGAAGAAGAGGGTGTGATGCGACGTACATAAACATGGAGAGATGTTTCTGGTAATATTTTTTAGTAGCCTGAGATTTACAGTTAGCAAAAAAAGAAGAAGGGAATTGTGATTTTTTGTGTCCTGAAGCTAGAGAGGGTGATGATTACCAAAGCTCAATACTAGAAAATGGTTTCAGAGACAGATTAGAGAAGTACGGAGACAGTATCTTACTGGAATCGTTTATAAGAAAGAAACTCCGCTCAATTGTTCATCATCAGTCCAATTTCTACTGATAAAGCTCGGCTTCAGCTATGCCATGGAGATTTGTTGAAGTGGGTAAACAAAATAGGATTCACATTGTTTGTAACACTACAATTGTCATTTTTTCTTAACTCAGAACAACTCTTTTTGTTCTTTTCCACGCATTAATAACATAGAATATATATTTCTGCAGATAATCTTTATCTTCTCTCTTTCTAGGCTCTAGCTATTGAGTTGTAGATATAATAAAACGAACCATGTTCCACCATTAAAGAAAAAAAAAAAACTTTCACCATGGATTTGACTGTATAGTCGGTATTGTTAAGCGATCATCAGATAGCCATAAAAATATAGTAGTTAGAAAAGTCATTATATATATAGCCACCAATAAATGGTGATTCGTGGCTAAAATGCCACCGATTAGCCAACAAACGTTTGTGGCTTTATAGCCACTACCAAACCGGCAAACCCTATACATAGTGGCAAGTGGTTATGTAAATTCGGTGACCACATACTACGGACGTTCGCTACTAGTACGTGACCAAATGGAAAACTAGCTTGGTCATGGTTTATATTATTCAAAATGTTACCCATTGACTACTACTACTAAGATATGGAAAATGGCCAATATCTACCAAATCATTTTGCCAATGCGTTTTTTACCTAAATTTTAATATAATGCATTTTTCTATCTGAACCGTTGTAAAATTCAAATTACATACATAAATTAATAAACACTATGCGAAAACCAACATTGACTTAGACGGTGTTAGTCAACCGTTAATTTTCGATGACTAAGATGCTACTGGACAATTGACATAACACGCAAATGGTTTAAAATGACATCGTCTTGGCTATAGTGTGTACATAGACTCAAAACAACTTCGTTTTAAGTACGCATAATAAATTAAGTTTTAATAATAAGTTGTTTTAAAAATATTCTAAATACTCAAAATGACGGTTTTAATAATAAATTTTAAAAAAATTATTCTACATATTCAACACCATATCGTTTTGAGTCTAAGTAAGTACCATAACCAAAACTACGCCGTTTTGAACCAATCATGTGCTACATCAAGTATACAATGGTGGTTTAATCAACGAAAATTAACATTTGATTAACACCTTCTAAGTCAATGTTGGTTTATGTATAACGTTTATTAATTCATATATGGTATTTGAATTTTATAAACGCGTATATGACAAAATGTTCAGGTTGTTTTTAACCGTTTTTTCTACTAAGATACTACATAAATATAATTAGAAGAGGTCATGTAAATATGTGCCTCTTTTGATAATGATAATGATATATTTGACATTTGCGAAAAGATAAATTGAGAATGAAGTTGGGTTTGTTTTTGTGTGTTGCTATTGACTTGATATTCAGTAAAAGTTTTGGTGATAAAAGAAAATTTTGACGATGTTTAGGTGATAAATGTCACTAGGTTGATTTTTTTTGTTGTCAACCACTAGGTTGTTGTTATAAATATTTGCAATAAACTTAAACTATATGAATACAAATTAATATCTTTCAATTGAAAACAAAAATATCTGAATTAATTTATTTTTTTCTATAATCGTCTCCAACTAAAAATTTGATTTGCATCCTCTCAAAATTTTCAATATTCATGACTCCAAGTTATTCTTATACATTTAAAAAAAAAAACAAATATACCACTTTTAATAAATTATTTACTCAATGGGCATGATAGAAGAAAGAAAAGCTGATGATGCTAAAAAGAAATTTTTAAAAAAAAATGGAAGAGAAAATTGAAAGGGACAAAACCGGTATTCAACAGCAAATTCCACATTATGTCATGATTGGTCTTAATAGTCTCACGACACAAAACGACAAAACTTGAATAGAGAAGAAGAAGAAGATATTATGAAGAAGAAAAAAGAAACTGACCCTCTCTTCGTCTCTTTGTCTCTCGCTCGCTCGCAGCCTTCTTATTATTTTCTCTTAACTTTTTTGAACCCACGAGGATCATCTTTCTCATCATCACCATCATCTTCCTCCTCCTTCATAATAATAAACAAACTTCTTCTTTTCTCTGAAGAAGAAACTAGGTCACCCTTTTTTCTAAGTTCCAATTTGGTTTCAGAGTTTTTTCAATTGCTTGCTTTAAGTTTTTGCGTAGGTGAGAGATCTTCTTCATCTTCTTACTGTTTTTGTCTTATCTTATTGTCTGATTAGTCTCTGTTCTGTTTTTTTTTTCAATTCCAAAGTTACTTTTGAATTTTGTTTTTTTTTAGTTCCTTAAGCTTATCAGAGGTATCATCAAATTCCTGAGAATAATGAAGTTTTGTTGGGTGATTTGTTATTTTGTTTTGGTAATTTTGCTATCTAAATTTAGGGATTTTAAAGTCTAAGAATTGAACAGATGGATCTAACTTTTTAGTCTCACTGACGTCGCTTTTCTGAATTTATTTTGTCCTTTATGTTTGTACTAATCCTTAATCAAAATCCTTAAAAGGCTGATTTTTGGTTATGATTTATTGCAAGAGAGTTTCTCATTACCTACCTATCACTGTCTTTAAATACTTGGGGAATTATATTTTCCTCAATTTGAGTTATCTATCTTCACTTATGGACCACTTTGGTAAACTAATATAGATAAAGCATGATCCTTTACCAGTTTTTAATCAACAGTCTCTCTCTCTTGTAATCTTTATATGATTTTGTATCCTCAAGTGTGGTTGTTACTGATACTTTGTGTTATTTCTCTTGTAGTGAAGTAAGTTATGGCCAAGAATGAGGAAGGAAGTAGTAGTCCGAGTTGGGGTGCTTCGTTTTTTATGCAGACTTCAGAAGATGTTGCAATGGCTTTTGCTGCTGCGGCTTCTGCGATAAACCCGCCAAGGCCTTCTGTTGTCTTTTCGTCGAAAGATGAAGGTAGTGATAGCCCTCTGGAGAGGTTACAGAGGCAGGTTTCAAAAGCGGTTAAAAACTTCTATGAAACTCCTAAGACCAAGAGTGTAATGTATAATCCTGAGGTTTTGACTAGCCAAAAGCGTCAATGGGCGAAATTTCAGGTGCACTATATGGTGTGTGTTTTAAAATTTGAACTACCAATCTCTTTGATGAAGAAACAACTACATTTCATGTCACTATATACACTTTTGGTACTAACTTATCTCAAACAGGATCATAAACCATTGAAAGATCCATCAAGGCTTTTTGAAAGCGTTGTTGTTGTTGGACTTCATCCTAATTGTGATATCCAAGCACTTGAGAGGCAGTACATTGCACGAAAATCTGAAGGCTCGTCTGGGAGATTGCGAAGTGCATTGGTTTCTCAAATTCATTCCCGTGTAGAACCCAGTCTTGAACCACAGGTGAGGTATCATTTTTTGTATATATATTTTCTCATATGCAAGCTGCTTAGTCTAAGTATTACTTTATTTTCAGGTCTTACTTGTGTACCCTCCCGATAAGCAGCCTCCAATTAAATACAAGGATCTTCATTCATTTTGCTTTCCTGGAGGCATTGAGGTGCTTAATTCATTTTTCCTCATTTCATACCTTTATTGCTTCTCAGTTCTGTAGTACATAACTAGTTTTCTGGTGCTTTATGGGTCAACCTATTAAGTCGAAACTGGTATAGAATGTAAAATTTTCTCATAATGGTAGTCATACTTTAAAATTTATGTTGGTTCTCTACGTATGATACTTCGCTAGTACGCACCCACTTTTGAAGCTCTTCTAAAGTGTTAGCAGGTTTTTTTAATTCCAGTAGATTTATGAATAAATGTTTCTGTTGCATTTTACCCTTGATGGTTTACTTTGTTTACATGTAAGAACTACGTTCTTTATACTCATACTTTTTGCTTGTTATGTCTTTTTAAGTTAATACTGGTGATTATTGGGTTCAGGTCCATGCTGTTGAGAGAACTCCTTCCATGAGCGAGTTGAGTGAGATCATTCTCAGTCAGGTATTTGCCTGATGTGGAGTGTAGATGTAAAGATTGATCTTTGTACTGGATTTAATTTTTTGATATTGGGAAAATATTGTGGTTAATCATTGTGTCAACTTTGATTCACACAGCTAAGATTTATATACGAAAACATACACTAATTTAAAAACCGGTGATGTTAACTTTGCAGGAACATCTTAGACCAAGTGACCTTTCATTTGTATTTAGGTTACAGGTAAGCATCATCGTGGCCAAACTATCTCTTTTGTATAAAACCTTTATTACATTGTAGCTTCTCTATTTGGATGAGTAACTTTCGTGATATTTTCCCTTCAGGTTGCTGATAATTCTACTTTGTATGGATGTTGCTTGCTAGTGGAAGAAATAGTGAACAAACCGTCCAGATTGCTTTCCACAGTTTTGGACAAACAACCTGCTTGCTCTTCATTAAGTCGCTATGTTATGACAACTCGCAGATGCTATTGCATCCTTACCAGACTGCCGTTTTTTGAATTGCATTTTGGTGTATTAAATAGGTGTGTATCGACTCGCTTCTGATTTTTTTTTTGCCTTCACGCAATTCAGGTTATTCTAGTATGACATAAACAGAATCTATCATAGTACATGTTTTATCATCCCACAAAAATATGTTTGGCTTGTATAATTCAAGAAATGCATTAATTCCTTGTTGCAAAATTCGCTTTTTGAAGTTGTGCTCACATTGATAATCCTTCTGATGTAGCATCTTCTTGGAAGAAAGACTGGAGCATTTGATGAGTGGCATCAGTAGTGCATCTTTAGAACCCCCAACAGATTTCAGCAATGAAGATAGCTTAAATGATTCATCACCCCAACAAAGAGACTCTGGGAACACAAAAGAACAAACTGTTGAAGCAGGTTCAGAACTCCCTAATGCTGACGAAATTTCAGAAAATGGGACTTGTGAGGCGAATCAGAAAGTTGACGTCAACTTGGATCCACTAAAGACAATTGTTGAGAAGACATCTGGTTCTGCAGAGTCTAACGACTATGTCCCCAAAGCTGATGATTCCTTACCAATTATTAAGCAAGGCAGAGAAAGTTGTTTACCAGATCCTGGCCCCCTTCTTCGGTGCCCGTATTTGGATGAGATCTCTGATTCTAGCACTAGGTACATCATCAAAATCTCTTCATCTATTAATTCGCATGACAAGCAATCTCTTAACCTGTCTGTTGATTAAATATGTATAAAAATATACATATAAAATATCACCCAGTACTGATAACTTTACGATGATCT